GGGGACCCTGGCCGCGGCCCCCCAGCGCCCCTTCGCTCGGCCCTGCGCATGGCGCCCCCGCCCGAGCCGCTGTGCCCGCGCCCTGACCTCACGCACGCCGGGTGACCGGCGGGAGCACGCGGCGCAGAGAGCGCCGGGAAGAGGTCGTGGAGCTCGCTCCGCGGGGTCTCAGGAGCGCCGGGGCGAGGGGCTGTAAAGGGAAGCTGAGCGGTGCATTGTGGGATTTGTAGTCCACAGGACGGCGGCCGCGCACTGCCGCGCTGGACCGCGGGGCATACTGGGTCTCGTAGTCGCTGGCGTCACGGTCTGACGCAATGCTTGCTGGGAAGGATGCCTCTGGTTGCTAGGTAACAGAAGTGGGCGGAGCGGCCGGCTGGCTGGCCGCGGACGTTGGCCGTCACTTCTTTCCCTTTGGGGGCGTTCGCCGCTCCTGTGGGCGGCTAGCAGTTCCACGGGAAAATCCATTTGGCTCAAATTTGGGGAGCAACTTTGGAATAGCCTGGTGGTAGTCCCTGGGACGGTTGAACGCGTTATCATGTTCCAGGCCCGCTTGGTGCTCGGAAGGAGAAACAGCCATGCCGCTCAGCCTCCGAGGAAAGACGCAGCGGGAGAGCACTCAGCCGCTCCCAGCGCCCCATGACTGCCGTACACTGCCTTCCCTTAGCGTCTGGGGTTGCTCGTTCTCCTTTTCCATAGGACGTTGTTCCTATAGACTTCTTTCTGAGTGGAGACCAGTTGGACTCGGTTCCTGGAGCATGTGCAGAAATATCACGTGTGACCCAAGCAAGGATAAAGTTATCGCCCAGACCCAGGAACTCTGGAGGCTTAGTGGTAAGGAGCTGCGCTCCCAGCTGCTTGGAGCCGGAAAGGTGGACAGCCTCTTCCCGTGCAATTTACTGCTTCTGAAAACCTGCTGGAGGCTCAGCTATGGGTCAGCTCCAGCTCCACCATACATGGTAACAACAGCCATCAGCCGGTGGATAAGTGATGTCTGTTGTCCCACAAGCCTCTGCAACAGCCTCTACCTTGAAGAGGCACTTAATTATCATAACTCTTCCCATACGACTATTTCCCACCTTCCCTTTGAAATAAACATGAAACCCCTTGTCACCTAAATAGAAGCCAAAAAAGGTAGTTTTACTTTCTAGTCTTTTCCCTAATAAGACTCTTGGCATGCTTGCAGAGAAGAGCCTGCGTTCCTGTTTCACTATTCTTACTTAGGAGGAGGAAGAACCAATTTTAAGAAGTATGCGGGAGACAATGTCAATTTTTTACTTAGTTGGATCCCCACTCAACATCTTTGGTCTCAGCAGTCAGGAAATCAAAAGACTTGTTGCTTTGGGAAAGTCTGTAGTCAAGGACCTCTCCCAACTGCTGAAGAACAAGAATGTCAGTTTAAAAACTAAAGTATATCTGATCCAAGCCGAGGTATTTTCAATTACTTGCTGTGCATCTGAGAGTTAGACAGGGAATTAACATGACATTAAGAATTGATGGCTTTGTGATGCTGGAGAGGAGTATTAAATATCTCATGAACTGCTAAGAGAACAAATATGCCATGGAGAGGGTGCACCTGAGAGGGAAGGATAGTGAAGCTTCATCTCACATACTTTGGGCATGTGGTCAGGAGGAGCCTTGGAAAAGGACAACATGTTCAGAAAAGTGAGAGGTAAGCAGAGAAGGGAGAGACCCTTAGTGAGCTAGATTGACACAATGTAACTGTGAGCTCAAATGGGACAGAGATAGGACAGGGCAGAATCCAGATCTTATAGGGTCACAGTGAGTTGTAGGTAACAGTACATAACAACAGGAACAACAACGTTGGAAACATTTTCTTGATGACTGCATTCACGGGGGTACTCTGCCAACACATTAAAGAAATGGTTGAAACTTGCCAATATGCTGAGTGGAAGAAATCGGGTACAGTAGGCTGCATATTGTATGATTTGATTTGTGTGAAATATCAATGCCTTCGAGTTGTGATGGAGAGAATTACTGAGCACACCATGGACTGCCAAGAGAACAAACAGGTCTGTCATAGAGAGGGTGAAACCAAGTTGCTCCTTGGAGGCAAGGAATTTGAGGTTCCGTCTCACATACTTTGGGCATGTTGCTAGGAAGGACCAGTGCTTGGATAGCGACATCATGCTTGGAAGAGTGGAGGGACAGTGCAGGAGAGGAAGAACCCAGATGGGATGAATCGACACAGTAGCTGGGGTAATGGGGGTAGTAGGTGTGTCAGAGGCTGTGAGATGGGCTCAGGATAGGGCAGGGTTCAGAGCTGTTGTGCATAGGGTCACTATGTGTCACAGATGACTTGATATCAGGTGCCATCGAGTTGAGTACAACTTATAGTGACCCTATGAACAAAAGATCTGAACCTAGTCCTGTTCTGCACCTTCCTCACACTTCCTGACACACAAGAGCCCACTGCAGCAGTCATGTCAATCCACCTGATTGAGAGTCTTTCTCTCCTTTGCTTACCCTCCACCCTTCCCGACCTCATATCCCTCTCCAAGGAATAACACCTCCTAGCAATATGTCCAAAGTATGTGAGATGAAGCCTCATCATTCTTGCCTCCAAAGAGCACTCTGGCTGCACCCTTTCCAAGACATACCTGTTAATTTTCTTGGCTGTCCATGGGATGCTCAGTGCTCTTCTCTAGCACCACAGCTCAAAGGCATCAATTCTTTTTCTGTCATCCTTACTCATTGTCCAGATCTCAGATGCATAGCTAGTAATTGGAAAGGCCATGGCCTGAATTGGACACACCTGATCTCGTTTACTATCACCTTGGGTGGGAAGCTTCTGTGTGGGCAAACAGGATCTGGTGGGCCCAGGGCCACTATTGATTGTGTTTAGAAAGAACGCTGGTGTAAGTGATACAGCACTTCTCTGTCAGTTTGCTGTACTGCAATTACTTGGGGTTGCTGTGATAATTAAATCTTTGCCAAAAGATTCATGGACCCACTGTGGATGGGTTTTGGTGGAACTCCCTGATTAAGACAGACTAGGAAGCAGGATGGGCCATCTACTTCCTAAATAAAAGGCTTTAGAAAACCCTAGGAACACTAAACAAAGAGGTTAGGTATAGTAGTGTAGTGGTAGAGCCCAGATTAGAAATAGTTGAAAAGAGGAAAATCAATAACAAATGTCGTTTTACAATTGGTACATGGAATGTTTGTAACTTGAATGTTGGAAAACTGGACGTTGGTGACTCGAGAGCAGGTAACAACAACAACAACATCCAGAACAAGTAAATGCCTGGACAAGTAGGTTAGGGAGGGAGGGAGGGGGATAGGGAGTGATTTAGATGGGTATAGACTCATTTTGCCCCCAAAATTTGCCTGTCCACTCTAGTATTTCAGGGTTGTAATTTTTTTCCCCCAATGTTTTTTTTTCCCCCCGCTCTGTTGTTGTTGTTGTGTACTGTCGAATTGAATACAACTGGCACAGTAGGAGATTGCCCCTCCTGGTGGATTTGAACTGAGTGCCTTTGGAATTGCAGCATAGTTTCTTGGCACTAGGCCATCAGAGTCCCTACAGACTCATTTTTGAGGAGGCAAAAATGTCACAGACTTGATTAAACTGACAGTTACATCAGTGACTGTATTTTTAAATTTTTCTATTATGTGATTTTTTTATGGAAGTTTACAGAAAAATTGGATTTTCGTTCATTCATTTTTACACATTTTTTCTCCCCTCCCCCAGTTAACTTTATTTTTAAAAAAATATTCATTCAGTGTTACATAATTTACTCTTCCCCCCTCTCCCTCCTCTCCCCCTCCCCTAGTCCTCTTCACAATTTATGTCTTATTTTGGACCATTGTCTTATATATAATTCCTAATCATATACTCCTTTTAAACAGCTCTCTCCCTCATCTGTTCCAATACAGTGTCCATTATCTATCCACTCTTTTCCTTTTCTCCTCCCAGCCTCCCATGTCAGTCCTGTTTCATAACAAGTAACTATATTTTTTAAAAACTCTAAACTCACTCTGAGTGAATAAATTGTACCTCAATGAAAAAACCAAACCCCTAGCTGTGGCAGTTGCCTAGCTGAGAAAAAAAAATACACACAGGCCATCTCTATGGGTGAAGCCATTTCCTTCCCAAATACCACCTCAGTACCCCGACCCCTCCTAGAGCCAGTACTTGAGTTGCAGACACTGGACCCTGCCTAGCTGCAGCAGTTGCCTGGCCAAGAAGGCTGCTAATACACAGGTCATCTCTACAGGTGAAGCCATTTCCTTCCTGTAAACCACCTCAGTACTCCTAGCCCTTCCTAGAGCCAGTACTTGAACTATGTACTCTTTGGGCCGCGCGCGTACACACACACACACACACACACACACACACACACACACACCACCCCCCAGCCCCACCTAGCTGTGGGCCCTTGAGCCTGCAGCCCTCGAGCCAAAGGGAGGCTAACGTCAACATTCAGAATCCAAGAAAAGCATTGCTTTTTTCTGGGACATCATCCTTCTGTGCTAGCCATGCACTGGAATAACTTGAAGGCTCCAGCCACCAGCAGCGACTGGAGTATGGTCCTGGAGTAGAAGGTTCAGAGACAAAGTCCTTCCTTCAGAGAGTTGGTATATCTGGCTATACCACTCCACAGACCAATGAGGACAACAGACTTCAGGAGAGAGGGCTGCAACTAGAAAACAACAAGCCATTCACACCGGAAAACTTAGCTGCAGGACCAGAGAAAGGAACAGAAGCAACTCACCCCCTAGTCTTGACTAATTTTGTCAGAGGACCAGAGAGGAAAAACTAAAGGCAGCGTGCGTTGTCTTTCCTTCTCCTACTAGTGTATTGAGCTCTCCAAGTCTTCCCTTGAGGCAAAGGATAAAAGAAAAATTCAGGCAGGGTTAGCTGCCCTTCCCTCCTCTGAAGCAACACGCTTCTGAGCCAAGTTTTCCAGACCCAGGGCCTGCTAAGGCCCCAGGCATGAAAAACTCTACCACAGCAATGACATGGAAGAAGCAGACTGCCTCACCCCTATACAAAAGCCTCACCCCTATACAAAACAAGAATAAGATA